CCTGACTTTGACAGCAGGTGTCGGTGTCTGTGTCGGTGTCGGTCTCTCTCGGCTGGCAGTTGAAACATTTGATGGCATTTCAAGCTGCAGATCAGAAGCGAGAATAAAAACTGCGTGCGTGCCATAAAAGTTATGGCTTTTTGAGTTGGTGGGAAGGGGAGGTTGAGAGGGGGCGGTTAGGTCAAGTAAAGTTGAAACTGGGTGGGTGGGTTGGAGTGGGCGCCATTAAAAACCACATTGTGTATATGTGTGTACGTTGGATGTTTGTTATTTTGTTACATTTATGCAGAGCCAGTTTTCGCTTTTAATTGCTTAGCTGACCTTGCTGCCTGACTGGGTTAATGGGTTAGCCTTTGTGGAGAGGCTATCGTTTTTAATTTATCGAATGGCCATTGATGTAGATAATGCATAATTGCAATTTCAATTTGCCAGTTTTAATGTTTGGCCAATGATGCGGGCACCTTATGGAATCAGTTAAACGCTTGCCACATTGCTACATTGCTAATTATTTGATTTTATTAAAAGCGAAGGTTAAACCAAAAAGCCATGACCAGCACTCTCAAAGAATTTTATTAAATAATTTATATGGTGTATTGTTAACCTGACCCCCAGAAGCATTTAAAGGTGAGGAGCCATATCAACAGGCACTCTATGAATGAAATCTCCTCTCTTGAAGAACGGTTGCCAAGCTCTTATTTTGGCTATTATTCCTTTGTTTTCGCCTCGTCTTTCTTTAATTATAAAGCCACTGGAACCCAACTCAGACCGAGAGACAGACAGACATATAAATATATATGGGGTTTTATAGCACTACGACCAAAAAACAAAAAAAAACGAGAAGGAAAAACTCATATTCCCATTGGCATCAAATTGTCTGCACGACAAGGTAACAGAGTATTAAAAATTTCAGCACCAACAGCAACAGCATCAGAATTTTCTGACCAGCATTCGTCCGAGATACTTTCCTATCCTCCTCCGTGGATGGAGGGCGGAGGTAGCCGAGGGTCAGACATTCGTCCTTTCCCCTTCCTTGTGATGTTTTCCCAGAATTTCCCTAGCAACGCAAGCCGCTTAACGCAGCCAACTGCCAAATGTAAATATACTCCAGCCCCAACTCGGCAGCCAAACCGACAAAAAAATATAAAACTTTCTTAATAATACAACGAGCTGAAAAAAAAAAAAAAATAACGTAAAGACGGAGCCGGAAAACTCGGTCCAAGGCGACGCAGACCCGCGAGGAAAATGCGCATTGTTTTCAGCTTTTCAGCGCCCAAACAACAACCGAAAGCGGAAAGCCTGGGGGCGCTGGAGCAAGGGGCGTGGCATGGGCTTTTCCAGAGGGGTAAAGAGGGCGGTGGGGCATTGGGAACTTAAAAACTTTGGCCATATCCCGCAGCTATGAACAACAGCAATCAATTTTCACATGCCGGCGAACAAATGTGCCGCACCAGGATGTCCCCCAGCCGAAGGGAGTGGAGAGGGGCAGCGGCAAAAGGGATGGACTCCGCTGGAGGGGCAACCTTTGGAGAGGGCGGAGGGAAGTCCAGGGTGTGGAAAGTAGTTTAAAATTATAATGCCTCATCAAGGGTTGGCGGACCATCATGGCGGACCATCATCAAGTCGAGCAAACATCACAGAGTGCCCCGCCACAGGACCAGAGATGACTTGCCAAATCACTGGATCCCCAAATTAAAACACAATACTAATTAACCGTTTGAGGTTCTAATTAAAATTGATAAGTCGTTTGTTCTTAAAGCTACTAAATGGGTTGGATAGAATAAAAAACAAACAGCTTAAAAAATTCTTATAAACTGACTATTTCTAAAATGCTTAAGCTCTGATACATGAACTTTAAAAGAACTCATAAATATTCTGTAACAGACACATCCTCTGGTAGTGACCTTTACGGCGAAATTCTCAGAAGCTCGTTCCCCAAACGATGAATCCCCAACTACCGCCTACTCCATATAATTAAATTAATCCCCCATTCATAGCCACGAAAGTCACGCTCTCATCTCCATTTCAAAGAACCATCCGAGAGCGTTTTGTCCCTCGGCAGTAGTTTAGCAATTCCGGATGCCATATTTGCGAAGCGCTTCACATCGGTTCGCCATCGATCTGGATGGATGGATGGTTGGACTATATCATCCAGCTGGGAGTGGGTGGGACGCCAAACGTTGATTAATTTCTCGTTTTTACGCCATTTTCTATTTGTCTTGTGCGGTAATTACGACAAGTCCTTGGAGTAGGAGGAACAGAGCAGAGCCGAGCCAACTTCCTGCCGCGTGGCCAAGACAAACAGAAGAAAAAAAAAAGTCCCTACTACCAGAACTCTGGTGACTCTCAGCTCCGATCCGTTCCGCTTTGCAACGCCCCACGGACCGAGAGGCGGATGGACCGACAGACGGACAGGCGGACAGACTGCTTCCGGTAATTGAATCAAATGAAGCAGCATTAGTATTAGCTTCTTATGGTCGGTGGTATCGTTCTGGAGATGCTTCCTCTGGCATAACTCTGTTTATTTTTGTAAATTAATTTTTAATTTAATGTACGTGTGGTGGGCGACGCGCTAGTTTCACGCCACGATGGCTGAAGCGACAGGAAGTGGGCGGCACCAAGGGCAATGGCACCCAAAGCCCACCGCCCATCCCTGTTCAAGGCAAACAGCGACGAAAGGAAAACAAAACAAAAGTGGAAAGCCAAACTAAAAGATGTATTTTTGGTTGAAGAATGGATGCTCTAGGTATATAGTATACCTTTAATATAGAACTATTCAAGGAGATTATTTCAAGGAGATTAAATTCAAACTTTTTCTAAAATTAAAATAATTTTATGGATATTTGTTAATTAAGTTGGCAGAATATATTTGCCTTTAAAATCAGCTCCTGATACTCTTCCTGTTAGAAGAGCACCCTCAAAATATACTGGCTATGCCCATGGACCAGTATATCCCCTACATAGACCCTAGACCCTGCTCCACACTCAAATATAAAGTAGGAAAAGCAGTTTTCAGCTGGTCAGCAGGCTGTCGAAAAATAAAAGTAAAACAAAGTGGAACGGCGCTGAAGTGGGGGACCCACGGTCCATGGAATATACAGTATAAAGCGAAAAGACGACGAAATACTTTTTCAAGATAAACGGAAACAAGCCAAGATGGAATTAATTTTCCGCTTTGAACAAACAAACGGATGTAAATAAAAAAAAAAACGAAAGAAAGAAAAACAACACAAAAAATGGAACCAGGAACCAGAACCAGCAGCATCAGCAGGAGCCACCTAGAGAAACCAGCGAAGAAATCGCCGTCAAAGTCAAAGGACTGGGTGCCAAGGGATGCCAGAATGCGGAGGGGGAAGGGACTACCAAAAGGAAGTAGCTAAAGCTTAGGCCAAAAGGACTAGGGAGATGCTGGGACTAGGGGGGGACTCAGCAGAGTTGGAGCTGGAGAGGCGATGTCTGGCAAGTTTAGCAAATTTAGTCTGGACAAGGGCTGGACCGACGTTATGTGCTGTTAATGACTGTACAAGAAGTTTAATTGTACGACTGCCTACACTGGGAAAAATTAATATTTAGTTAAGTTTGGTAGGCAGGTGAGATATAGATACATGTATTAAAAGATATTGGGGTATATTATAAGTTGAGGTACTAAAGCTTAGAAAACTTTTTCCAAATCATATATTTTAATTTAAAAAATCGAATTCTTTTGCAAATTAAACAAATTATGTATGTATTACTCCCTAGTATTTTATATTACTATCCTATACTATTTATATTATTTCTATTTTTTGTAGTTTTTAAAAGAAAACCCTCTACTTCTCATTGCAGTGCCTTTCTAGGAAATAGTGTCTAACACCAGATTGTAGTTTGGGCCAGAATGGGCCAGAGGTGGGACCCTGATGGGCGTGCGGTAATGCTACACACACGCATATTGACAAATTGCAATTTAAATAGACAGCAATAAGTTAAACAGACGCACACACACTCAACGGAGTGAGTGTTTAGTGGGGGCGAGGAGGCAGCCAAAAACACGCCACGTCTAATTAGTTTAGCACGGCACGGGGGGAGGTCAAGGGGCAGCCATCGGCTGAGATGCTAGAGATGAGCAATAATTAGGCAAAAAGTTAATGCGTTGAGGGAATTACAATGCGTTTTGGACCAGGCTGGCTGGCTGGCTGGCTGGTCGAAATATATGGCATAAATTAGGGGGACAATGACCAGAGTAACAAATAAATTATAATACATTTATTTACAAAAGGACACATCTTAATGAAAGGAAAGCATTAAGAGAAGAGGAGGCTTAAGAAGATGTTCTCCATAATTATTATACATACTTTTATGTAAAATGGATTATCCAATTTAAAGAATAATCATAAAGATTATTAAGTTTTTTTTTTAATATATAGACAAATATTTTGTATAATATAGAACCCTTGAAAAAAGTCATCAAAATAACAGACACTTTAATAGCCCATTGCTTAGTCCTATTTAATAGAGATCACATCCCTATCTCTATACCCCCTTCTCCTAAAAAAATACCACCCCCGAAACCCGATAATTCATCCGTTGACTAAAATACATTAAGGCATTTTTACGGCCAAAGGACACCCCGCCTTCATTTCCATCTTCCGGCCCATTTTTGTTACAATAGTTGCCATCTTGTGGAACTAGAAACCCCATTCTGAGATGTTATTTGTTGTTTCTTCTCCTATTGCCGGTGTTGTTTTTGTTGTTTGTGTGCGGCAAATATTGATGGAAACATTTACGCACACACGCACACAATTAAACACGTTTACACACGCTGATAAACAGCAGATACCCACACACACACACACAAACCAAGCCAAACCCTAACCCAAACACACACCGGGAGCAATGGAAATAGAGATGAATAGAGGCTAAGTAGTAATTGATGAGTTTCCTTTTATGGCAACATCAATCATACGCACTGTATGCCAACGTTTTGCAGCCAGGTTAAATAAATAACTCGATGAAGCCAAAGACAATTAGGCGTCTCTCTCTCTTTTTATTTGCCAATTTCAATTGTAGATGTCTATCTAAGGCTATATACATTGGCTTATATATTCAAAGCTCATAACTCGGTGTTCTTAATCAAAGTTTTCGATTCTGTTGTTTCTAAATTTGATTTCGTGATGCTCTGTCGCTTCGTCCAGCACAGAATGTTAACCCAAATTAGGCCACAAACACCCATATAAATAACACGGAATCGGGGCGCTACCAGGGAAAAGTTTAGGGCCTGAGCGGGAAGCCAGAAAACACAGGATCGCACAAAAGTTGGCACAAACTTCTCACGCAGTTCCAGGAAAATGTCCTCTGAGCCCTCCATGATTGACATTCCTTGAATGAATTATTTCATATTTAGATTAAAGTTGGAAAGTTTTTGATTCTATTTATTTTGAATTTTTACACTTACCGGCATAAAAGACAGTCAATAAATAAGGCGTTAGTACAAACTGATCGAGGACCAATTTTTTTAAGATTATAGTTTTGGTAGTGCCAGGAAACACGCGATCTAACCATTTATACCTAAGAGAGGTTTTTAATATTAATAAATAAATATTTAGTAGAATATTTAAAGTTTTAATGGCATTTGCAAAAGCAAGCAAAATGAGTATATGTGGGTGTTAAGAACATAAGGTGCTGTGTTAGTTTTTAAAATAGATTTTTTAAGTAATATGTCCTTTTGTGTAGATAGTGCCTTGAGTTTGATATAATTTGTGTATCCTTGAATATATATCCTTGTGTGTGCTCTGTTTTATGTATATTTGGGATGTAATTTTTGTGTTTTTTTTAGCATCCTTCACTTACATTGCATTTATTTGTTCATTGTCGTGCACATATGCCTCAATTTCTTCAGTGCGTAGCGTGCTTTCTCCGAGCTTTTTATTTTGTTTTTAATCATAGGCAGTGGAAAGCTTGGTGCTCTTGGTGGCTGATGGTGCTTCTAAAGAGAAACGTGAATAGAAAGTAAGAGACACAGAGAGAGAGTGTGTGAAAGTGAGATGCGACGAACATGCTCTTGGCTTGACTTTGGCGACACGTGCTGGCGAAGCTTTTACGGAATTGTAAACAAATTGATAAAAGACAAAAACAACAACAGAGGCGTACTGCGAAGCAAATTGAGGCGATACGAAAGAATGGTTAAATGGTGGGCATGTAAATGTGAGTAATTGAATGGACCACCGATGTGTGAGTGTGTGTACTTATGTGGGCAAACAGCTGAGGTCAACATAATAGATCAGAGGTCTAGGCTTCAATAAGAACTAAGAACTAAGTCTGAGGTAAAAGAAGATAACAAGGTAATATAAAAATCATCATCAAATAATCGGAAGAGTTTTTTAAAATAATGGAACTAAAAATTACACTTCAAAATAAGTTATACCTTTAAAAGTCACTTATTATCACCATTATAAAAAATATCCATAAAACTAATACACCCTCTAACTTTTAGGGTCTAAGCCTTAAGCTTGACTTAAAAACTTATTATTTTGACCTCAGTTGCTTGACTTGATATACATTTATATACATATTATGTACAAATGCATAGTTGTTTATATAATATATGGGTGTTGAGCACAAACCAAAAATACAACGAGGGGGCATAGGCCGCAGTGCCCATGACGGCGTATCTTCCTATTGTGGCATAATCGATATCCTCTTTCTCGGCCGCGGGCTGCAAGGCGCATAAATCTGATTAGAAATCGCCAGATATGCCCTTAGGATAGACCCCCCCACAACCCCTTAATTCATTATGCATAAATCAAATATTAAACTCACCGGTAACCAGCGCTTGGACAGATATTGCTGAGAATATTCGGCCCCCACATACAGGCTGCCATAGATGGCGCTGTTGGTCACAAAAGGATAACGGCGAAAGGCCGAACGAACTCCCGAAATCAAACGCGACATTTTCTTTTCCTGTCTGCAAAAAATTTATTTGTTTTAATTAAAGAATTATGCGACTTTCTCCAATTATTTACTTTGGATGCGGCCTGCCCTTGGCGCTGTCTGCTAGAGAGTGAGGAAAAAATTCCAAACGAAGGCCTCAGCTGTTACAAAAGACAATAAACAATGAACTGAGAGTTCCAGAGAGAAAACTGGAGAAAGAGATAGCCATTGAAAAAGAGAAAGATTGCGGTAGTTTAAGAGAAAGTCTTTCAATGTTTACGTTTGTTTTTCGAAGCAGGAAATGTAATGAGAAAATATCAAGATTTATGGCTCTTGTTGATTAGGGAAAGCTTAGAAATGCAGTTAACATTTAAGTGGTATTTGTGGGGTTTTTATCAGTTGGTGTAGATAAGATTTGGTAATATCAAAATAAAGGGGTTAGTAACGAGAACTAGGTATAAAGATTTGAGATTTGTAGACATTTGGTAGAGCTTTTGTGAAAAGTATTATTATTTTTTACCAAAACGCCACATATAACCTTCTTCTGAAATACCAATATCCTAAAAGAAACCAACTTTTGTGAGAACCGCAATTTCCCCCCAGATCAGCATCCTTCGAATCCCAGAAGTTGCCAAAAATTACCTCAATCAAGTTTAAAATACAAATCCACTACGAGTCCTACCTTAATCAAGGACACATGCAACGAAAGCAAAAAAAAAACGCACATAAAAGACGAAGAAAAAACAACAAAACTTTTGCCCATAAAAATGCAATAAGTGTATCAAGTCTTGGAAACCCTTTTTGGCTAATGGCAATTTACGCACGACTAACAAACACCGGCAGCCAGGCCGGGGAGCGAGATGGGAGTCCTGGTGCGAGGGGCAGGACTCGCAGGACTTCAAAACATATGCCGAGGAACGAAGACACGGAGGCGGAGAAACGACAACTTTGATTGAGTGCCCGGGAAACTGGAAACTGGAGGCAAAGGTGTTAAAACTGAAACCAATTTAAAAAGTTCTGCGAAACCATATGGAAAGTGAGTGAGAGCCGAGAGCCTAACAGGGAAAAAGTTTTGGATAGGCGTGCGTGTACTTGGGACAAAAAAATCCTCCTGTAAAATCAGGGGATTTATTAGGGCGAGAGATTGTGTGCATTTTAAGCAGATGTAATAAGATGGGTATTAAAATTCTTTGAAGACAAATCTTGCACTAGAAAGTATTGCTTTAAAAAACAAGTCATACCCAAAAAGTAGGCTTGGAGGGGCTGACATATCACCCTCCCATAACCCTGGGCAGCTCACACACACAACGCCCTATACACGTGATCCTTTCCCAACGCCAAAGACACAAAACTGCTCAAGGACCAAGGACTAAGGATGAACCTAAGCAACATACTAAAGAGCGTGAGCAACAGTCTGGGCTTCGGAGCCACCATCGACCAAAAGCCAAAGGCGGTCAAGAGGTCACCGTTCACTTATCAACAGAGTCCTCACTACAGCTCCGAATCCACTTCAAGCGCCCCCACGAGCTCCGTTTCCAGTCCCAGTTCCATATCCGACAGCACTCCCAGATCTCTTTCCCGCTCCTTCAACAGTGCGTCTACCAATCTGCTGGTCCCCTCGGACGACGAGGGGCATCTGACCCTAGGCGAGAAACGTTTGGCCTCGGCGTCAGCTCAACTTTCGAAGAGCCACCATCCCCATAAGCAGATGATTGAGCAGATCCTGCGCCAGGTTAGCGAGCTCGAACACACTCTCTTCGAGGACCAGCAGCAGGAGTTCAAGCTGCGAATGGCTCTCGAGAGGCAGACTGAGCGTTGCCAGGAGCTGGCCTTCTCCCTGGACACGGAGAAGCAGAGGAACGGACGACTGGTGCAGTTGCTCCGTGGGGTGGACACCGCCAGCTCCGGGGACAGCGAGCCGGAGGAGCGAGCTATGAGCGGTTCCCATGTCAAGTCTATGGGGGATCTTTACGAGTCCATAAGTCCACTGCTCATGCAGCAACGGTGAGTAGAATTATTTACAAATATGATAGGTATAGTAACTATGGTATCCTCCAATAGCTATGATGAACTCTCAATATCCCATCGCCAAAGTCGCAGGCAACTGGCCAAAAAGGAAAAGTCCCTGAGGCTCCTCAAATGCGAAAAGGAGCAACTACACTCGGAGTACGACCAGTTGTTCGACGAATACCGGAGCGAACAAAAGCGCTTCGAGATGCTCTGTTCCCAGTTCATTCAGATGCAGAGGAAGAAAAAGCAACAGATCTTTAATCTGAAGAACACACTGGGCTACGCCTCCGAGTGCATCTTCCATGCCCAGGCTGCCATTGATGAGTGCTGCCGGCGATCGGGCTCCCGGTCACCCATTTCGCAGGTGAACCTCCGGAATTTCAGGAAGAATCTAGACTGCTTCATGGATGCCCTGAGGAATTGCTGTTGCCTCCAGAAAGTGCATGAATTGCAGCAGGAACAGCTTCAAAAACAGGAGCAAGGAACAGTTATTAGAAAAGAAGAGGAGCAAAAAGAAAAGCAGGAGGATATGGATCAGGACTCAACACCTTCCATAGCAAGCAGTGGCACCTATGTGGGGGAAGCAGATCCTTCAGAAGGAAAGGAATCCCCAAAGCAATACCATCGGAGACATCGACGCCAAAGGCATTCCAATCGTTGAAGCTTCACTTTCAGTTACTCCTTAGCGTTAGGTTTCTTTCTTCCTATCCTGTAAAATTTGTTTTTAAAAATGAAAAGTGAAAAAAAAATTTATTAAATATGTTCACACAAATAAAGAAAAAATAATTTTATTTAAAAAAGAGTGTTTTATATGTTATAAAAAATTAAAATGCCTAAAACTTCAGAAAGATTATGACATATTTTAAACAAGAAAGTAAAGCTAACTTCGGTCGGTAGTTAACTTCGGTAACTTCGGAAGTTGATATACCCTTGAAATTAAAACCGGATATACAATATTGCAAACATCGGATATAGTTGACCGATGCTTATGAGAATATCATAATAAAACTTATTAATTACAATTGTTTGGTCATTGAGCGTTTTCAATGCCGTAAATAAAAAGACGAATTTGTTAATTTTGAACGTTATAAAAAATGTTTATTCCTGCATGCAGATGAAGCCGGATGATCCGGAGATAGACCAGCTTATGGTGCATGCAGGGACTCAAGTAATATACACAGACATTGCCGAGCTAACTCTCTAAAGAAAGTCCGTAGAGTCGAGCGGCCGAGAGAGAGTCGGCTTGCGATCCACTAGCTTTTGTATAAACTTAAGCCTAATAAATAAACATTACCAAACATTACGTTAACATGTTTAAACATTAAAATTACACCGGTGGGCTGCTGCCTGACCCGACAACAATAAAAAATCTAAAACACAGTACCAAGCTACTATTTTCAAAAATACCAAAGTTTTTTTTACCAATTTTTACCAAATACCATTTCCGATCGTTCATTTATATGGCAGCTATAGGATATAGGTCGGATCAACTAACCAAAAATAGAATGAGCATGATATGAGCATTGCATTAGAATTAGAAACTTTCCTTGCTTCGGTGCTAATCGTAGCTGAAAAATTATTAATAATTAAAAGAAAATTATGGATATATTTATATTTACATATATGTTCGCAATAAAAACCAAAAAACGTATCTATTTTTAAATTTCTTAATCCGTTGGCTTAACAAAGACTTCTTATATTATATTTTGCGACAAAAACTTGCATTGTAAAGTCACTCCGAAACTTAATAATAGCCACCACAAAATGGGTGCTGAATCAAGGAGACTGCCTAAAATTGAATATATGAAAACTCCCTTAAAGATTATCCGGCCTTTAACCATTAGTTACGTCATGCTTATATCAACTGAGGATATGATCCTGATCAAGAACATATTTACTTTATGGGGTCGGAGATGTCTCCTTCACTGCGTTCCACACTTTTGAGCAAAATTGTAATACCCTCTGCAACGGTTAATGTTAATATTAGTTATAAGAAGCGATATATGCCTTTACAAATATTTATATTGGCCTATATTTTTGGCAATATTGGCCTGTCATTTGGCTGGCTAATCTTGATCCATAAGAATGTACAAACTGGGATTCTTCGTCTTCCTAGCTATGGTGCTCTGCATTGAGCCATTTTGGAATGTCTGCGGTGTCAATCAAACTTATAGTGATGGTCCAGGTTCTTGTCCGAGAACGTGCAAGCCCACGAGTAAGTGGTGTACGCTTGACCGTGGTCGTCCTCGTTCTCCTTGTGCCTTCAAGGGTGGATATTATAAGAGTTCTTCTTATGGGGCTTGTGTGTTGGAAGCAGACTGTCCGAAGTTCGAAAAACAATCTTGGTAAACTGAATTCATCAGGATTGAAGAATTCTAAATGAGTAATAAAGTTGTAGTAATATGAAAATAATTCATTCTTAATAAAAACAAGAATATAATTCTTCCATTCTCAATCAATTAATTACAGGTTTCATGAAAAACTTTCATTGTTAAGTCCCATAGTCTGAAACTGAAACACCACAAAATGAGTGCTGAGCCATGGAGACCGGTTAAGATCGAATTAATGAAAATCCTCTCAAATACCATCCGAAACAAATTTAATTAGTTCGTTATTTCGCTAAATTATTTAAATAAGTAAGGCGGCAATATCGGCCCATCATTTAAGAATCTGGCTAATCTTGATCCAAAACAATGTACAAACTGGGATTGTTCGTCCTCCTGGCTATGGTGCTCTGCACCGATGCGAAATTTAACTGTCCTGCCAACCAATCATATCATGGTTGTGGAAATCATTGTCAGGCACCTTGCGAAAACTTAAATAAGCCGTGTCTTTTGTACTGTGGCCCTCCAGCTTGTGCCTGCGCCTATGGATACGCTTTTAGTAAAGATCATAGGACTTGTGTGTTGGAATCAGACTGTCCAAAACACTAAACACAAGCAATTTTTCACTGTTTTGGGACTAATCATCCCTAAAGAATTTTTAACAACTAATAAAGTTAAACTTATACGAAACTGGTTCATTCTTCATGAATACAAGAAAACGAATACAATTCTTACGTTCTCCATAATTTGGGACTTGTGGCAGGTTTCATGAAAAAACATACGTTGTTAAGTACTCTGAAACTGAATAATATCCACCATAAAATGAGTGCTGAGCCTTGGAGACCGGTTAAAATCGAATTAATAAAAATCCTCTCAAATACCATCCGGAACAAATTTATTTATTTTGTTAGTTTGCTAAATTATTTAAATAAATAATGCGGCAATATCGGGCTGTCATTCAATAATCAGGTTAATCTTGATCTAAAACAATGTGGAAACTGGAATTCTTTGTCCTCCTGGCTATGGTGCTCCGAACTACTATGTCGATTAAAAATATCGACTGTACTGCCAATGGAACTGCCCAAAACTGTCCAACCTCTTGCCCGGATACTTGTGAATTCGACTCTCCGGTTTGTTTTCTTGACTGCGGTGCTCCTTGTGTCTGCAAGCCTGGCTATATTATTGATGAATCAATTCCGGCTTGTGTCTTGAGGTCCGACTGTCCGAAAAATGTGAAGCAGGTTAAAAAATTTAAAAGAATTACAAACTTTCCTTGCTTCGGTGCTAATCCTGACTGCAAACTTATTAATAATTAAAATAAAATGAGGAATATAATCATATGTTCCCAATAAACACCAAAAAACGTATACATTTTTAAATTTCCTAATCCGTTGGCTTAACAAAGACTACTTATATTTTTCAACAAAAACTTGCATTGTAGAGACACATATTCCGAAACATAATAATATCCACCACCAGATCGGTGCTGAACCAAGGAGACTGCCTAAAATTGAATTTATGAAAACTCCCTTAAATATTAACCGGCCTTTAACCTATGACTGGCCTTTAGTTATGACATGCTTATATCAACTGAGGAGGTGATCCTGATCAAGAATATATTTTACTTTATAGGGTCGGAGATGTCTCCTTCACTGTACACTTTTGACCAAAATTATAATACCCTCTGTAAGGGTATAAAAAGTGTAGCTGCATTTATTGGAGAATTAAAGGCAGGCAGGCCGAGGAGCGAGTCCTTATGCGTGGGGCAGGACTTTATAGCGAGGAACGAAGATACGGTGGCGAAAAAACGACATCTTTGATTGAGTGCCATGGAAACTGGGATCTGGAGAGCAAAAAGCTCTTCCTGGTTTTATTCTTAAAAAAGCTTTAAATTCTTAAAGGTTTAGGAATATTGTAACAAGAATAATATATTTTACATAATTTAAGATGAATTTATTGCCATATTTTCCATCAAGTTAAAGTTTTTTTGATAAAAAGGCCTAAAAATTCAGATCTTTACCAAGTAGTCTCTTCTTCCGATCTCACACACAATCTGTGACTATTCCAAGGAAAAGGCTATACAAATAGTAAAAATCGTTAGAAATAATGTCTATACAAAGGAATACCCAAAAAAGACCATCATCGGTCAGCTCGGCTAGTGATGCGGTTTCGGAAAAATCATCCGAAGATGAATTTGAAGCCGGAAACGAGGTCAAACCGGCCTCTGACGTCACCATCTACAACTCCTACAACATGGGCCCGGCCTTTGGCAGAAAGTTCCCACTGCCGTATATCCGTTTAATGGTCTCGAAAGTGATGCAAGACAGGTTGACCAACAAGACCTACAATCCGACGGATGCACGCAAGCTGGCTCGCGATGTGGCTGATGAAATCAATATGAGGATGAAGGGGGATGGATCCTGCCCAAGGTACAAGCATGTGGTGAATGTGATGCTTTACCAGCAGACTGGAGCAGGATGTTTCTATGGAGCACGAGCCATTTGGGATCCCCTCGCGGATGACTACATGAACTATACCTTTGATGGTGGGAGTTTTATTTGCATTGCCACTGTTTTTGGCTGCTACCAATACTAAGTTAGTGCAGTTCTACTAAATCGATTAAATTAAATAAATTATTAAGTATTCTCTTACTTGGGAAATGTATGTAGTAGTTTTTTATTCAAAAAAATATATATTTAAAAGTAACTCCCAGTTTGAATTTTAGTGCTGCCCATAAAAATTCAAATTATCGTTAATCGTTATCACCGATAACATCCCATCTCAATAAAAGTCCATCTCTGACAAGTTGGCAGGCCTGCCGGACGCACATGTTCTGTTTGTTTTTATTTTTATTGAAATTCTAAAATAATTGCGCCGCAAGAATTTTAATTTAATTCTGCCAGGATGAAGGTGAAAATGATTAGCCGTAATCCGGACAACTATGTCCGGGAGACCAAACTGGAGCACCACAAAAGTGAGTAGAGGATAATGCGGAAATTCGACTGTTCTGAGACTTCTCCTTTTGTAGTGGCCCGAAACTACGATCCTGCTCTGCATCCATTGGAGGGTCCCCGGGAATATGTCCGGGCTTTAAACGCCACTAAGCTGGACCGTGTGTTTGCCAAGCCCTTCGTTTGCAATTTGAGCGGCCACCGAGATGGTGTTTCTTGCTTCGGAAAGCACCCAAAGCAGTTGTCTCAGCTCGCCACCGGTGCGTATGATGGCGAGGTGCGTATTTGGGACTTGGCCAACCGCACCAGCACCCGTCACTTTGTGGCCCATGACGGGTTCGTTCGCGGCGTCGCCTACGCCCCGGATGGTAAGCTGCTCTATACAGTGGGAGATGATAAGACCATCAAAGTTTGGAAAGGTGATGCCCCTGAAGTCGGCGAGGAAGAGGAGCCTGTTAACACCATTCTCAGCCGCTTCGGTCTTCACGGCATCTCTCACAATCGGAAGGGCAACAGTTTCGCCACCTGCGGCGAGGTTTGCGCCATTTGGGATGAGAAGCACAACGATCCCATTAAGACCCTAAAGTGGGGAGTGGATACTCTGCATGCCATTTCCTACAATCCTGTGGAAACAGATATCCTGGCGTGCTGTGCCAGTGACCGGAGCATTATCCTGTACGATCAGCGTGAGGCTCAACCGCTGCGAAAGATTGTGTTGACGATGAAGAGCAACAAGTTGTCGTGGAATCCAATGGAGGCTTTAAACTTCACAGTGGCCAATGAGGATTGCAAGTAAGGAAAACTTTTTGAGGCTTATTAAAGCAATAAATTAACATTTTACCTTTCTAGTCTTTACACCTTTGACACCCGCAAGCTGCAAACCCCCCTGAAGGTTCACTTTGACCACGTTTCCGCCGTCACCGATGTGGACTACTCACCCACGGGCAAAGAGTTCGTCTCGGCCAGCTACGACAAGACCGTCCGCATCTACAACGCCCATCACAGTCACTCACGGGATATATACCACACGAAGCGCATGCAGCACGTGGTCTGTGTCGCCTGGTCGCTGGATAATCGATACGTCTTCTCCGGCTCCGACGAAATGAACGTGCGCATGTGGAAGGCCAATGCTTCCGAGAAGCTGGGCGTGATTCGGCCGCGTGAGCGGGTCAACTTCAACTACCAGGAGGCGCTCAAGCAGAAGTATGCCGCCCATCCGCAGATCAAGCGCATTGCCCGCCACCGGCAGGTGCCGCGTCATGTCATGAATGCCCAGCGAAAGATGCGCCTGGTCAAGGATAAGGAGCAGGTCAAGGAGGCCAATGTGCGCAAGCACTCCAAGAAGGGCAAGGTGCCCTACGTCAGCGAGAAGTCGAAGCATGTTATTAAAGAGGAGGTTTAGGCTAGTATGTTTATAAGCAAATACATTTATTTATAGGACCTGTGTCTTTGTAATCGAGGCTCTCGCAGATCAATCAAATACGAAAGTATTTGGAAAACCTACATATCTATAAATCGGTGAGATAAGAAGGCGTGTATATATGTGTTGGTTTCGGCCGCGTTCGTACTGCAATGTTGCCTGGAAATTTGAAATCAAATTCGAATCCGATAAGCCCCCACAACCGATAACATTGAGAGCGCAAAACTGGGGAGACGTGTCCGTTCGTGTGGGGCGAATTTCGATTATAAAAGGTGGACAGCCCCGCCGTTGGGGTCTCAGTCGCTTGTTGTTACGGCAGCCGCCAGTCCGGTCGTTAGTTTTTGTTTTCGTTCTCCGTTTGTTTATACTCCAGCGACTCCGCCCGCCGGCGCCACCACAGAACTTGTTTGTATATAACAACAATACCAACATATTAAAATCATGGAAGCACTGGGAGATCTACTGGCACCTTATAGCGAACTAATCGCTAAGGTAGCCGGCACAATTACTACCCTGCAATTTCTGTCTGGTGTGGCGCTGATGAACGACATCCGGAAGAAGGGTAGCAGCGACGTCTACCCCGTTGGACCATTCCTGGGCGGAGTGGTGCTGTAAGTACCCCAGCATGCTTCACTGCGCACACAGTCGCCAATGAAAAGCTATGCGGCTATGTGGAAAAACAAAAGTGGCACTGCATCTGTGTGGGAATTGATTAAATTTTTGAACTGTCGCCATGACACTACAGAATCGGCTCGCCCCAAGGACGTTCCTAAATCGCTTTTGCTTCGATTCAATAAGATAACAATGCCAGAAGTTACATCACAGTCTTAGTGTCAAACCCCCTTATTGTGAAAATAACAACCATTTCGATCATCTTCGGCCGTTACAATTCGAAATCGCAACCTTGTCGTCGATGAAATCTTTGGGGTTCTTATCGTCGCGAAGCCTCTGCCAACACGTACTGCTTATCTGGAGTGTGTAAAATAGTATAGCTGGGCATTAGAAATGCTGATCTGCTAATCTGGAAATTGTGGGAGAGCCCCTGGCCGTTTATGAGACAAGTGAAAGATAGGTGGCTCGCCTTTGCCACGTGCTCCGAATAAGTCAAGGAGGTGCCAGTTTCCGGGAGGTCACTTTCAGTGATGGGTAGTATAGACTCACGGTACCATTAGGTACAACAATTTATAGTATTTTTAAGCTTAACCTCTGGCATTTGTTTTAAAACAAAAGCTTATAAGATGAGAAAGAATAGAAATGTAAAATACTTTGAGCTTTCCCACAACTACTTGTATCTTCCAAACCTAAACTATATAATGATATGCCTCTATGCTATCCCCTGATCATTGCACTCTAAAAACAATTGATATATACCTTTCCTAGTTAATTATAACATTGTTTGTTCTACCTCACAGTACAGGTACAATTTTAATTCGTGCGTCTAGTACTTTTCCCATCACTGTGGGGTGGTGGGTGTTCTGTGAGGGGGTGGCGGGCGCGAACTCGGACTGTGTCAAGTGTAAGGACCCGCAGACATGCAAGTGAAGCAACAGTTGTATTCTAAATGAATTCCAATTCAAGGTGTCTAGGTCAAGGGCGGTTCCGGGGCCAGCTGGCGTTTAATTTCGCACCTCGCAGGTGTATTTCACCATTGTGCTGGCTTTATGAATGATAAGTCGATCGATGATAGTACATATTTATTTCCCATACTTTAGGAACTGTTATCAGTAACTACGTGATGTATGATTGGCAAAAATTATTAGTTGTTTTATGTGGTATATCCCAAAAACCAGTTTGAGTCAGCATGTTTTTAATTATTTCGAGATGGATAGCAGCTGAGGTACAATATCATAATTATTTAATAAATCCGGTTTTCTTAACTCATTTCTAGTCTAACTTTCTATTTCTGTGAGGCACTCCCATAGAGAACTTTTTTGTTTAAAAGCTATTGAGTTTGGAGAGAGAAACTGGTTTATAATTTAAAAGAAATGAGGGGTCTAGCGACTCTAGAAGGGATTTTTTTTTTAATAATTTGGAAATCTTGAGGCAGTACCCCCTTGTGAAGACCTTTACTTGAAAATATTTCCACCAAAGTCTAATAAAACCCTTTTTTTCCCTTTCCAGGACTGTTCTCAGCTTGAAGCTGGCTTACATCATGAATGATGCTGCTATGATCAACACCAATCTAATTGGTCTGGTCATTAATTTTATTTTCCTGGGGGGCTTCTATTTTTACGCATCGAGTGGTAAGAAGGGTGGCATCTGGAAGCAAGTAGGCTACTCTTCGGTCTTCCTACTGGCCACCACTGCCTATGCCAATTTCGAGGATCCCACCAAAGTGGAGTTCCGTCTGGGCATGCTGATCACTGGTATTCTGGTCTGGTTGGTCGGCTCACCCCTTCTCCATCTGCCGAAGATCATTGAGAAGAAAAGCACTGAGGGCATGCCGTTCCCAATTATTCTCTCTGGTAATTTGGTGGCCGTTTCCTGGATGCTATATGCCATTTCCATCAAAAATACTGTGATGGTGGTAAGTAAAAATTAATTCTAACTTTCCCTAATATTGTTTAATTTTCCAAATATTTTATTCTTTAGCTCCAGAATTTATTGCTGCTTGTTTTGGGAGGAATCCAGCTGTCCATGTTTGCCATTTATCCCAACACACCCGTTGCTAAGAAGGGCAAGGACAGCAAGAAGGATAAATAATCGAAATCGATGGCTATGATTGACGAAAAAGGACAAATAATGGGTTGTTGCAACAACAAATTACCAAGTAATTGTAGTTAGGCTCAAGGAATAATCAAATTATTGCTTGAATTTACACTAAATCGCCACAATACAAAACTAAATTTGAGCTAGACAAATTATTTTTCTATATATAAGAAATATTTTCTTAGAACAAATCCGGCTAAGTTGCTAGCTAACCTAGAGTTGTTATTCTATTGACTATTATTGTAAATAACTACTATATACTTGCAATTTTTGACAATAACTCAAATCTTCCAAATGCATACGTATTTATAAAATCAACATTATTAATAAAAACAAAATCTGTTACAAAATCAATTCTTGAACGAGTCGTTGTATGCTTTCTATTCCATTTTCGTTGCTAGTTTCAGGCCTCTACTGGAACGGTGGAGTTGTAATGGGCACCCAGCTGGTAAATGTGACGGTGGTAACAGATCACCAACGGGGAACCACCGAACTCCTCCTGTCCCAGAAGCGTGGCGGCTCCCTCTGCTTGAATAACTTCGATGGGCACTTTCAGCAGCGATGATATGGCCTTAAGTTCAATGTGCCCGCCCCAGGCGTGAGTCTTTTCTATATCCTGGCAGTACTTGTCGAACTGCTCGTCATCGAGCAGGTCTCCCGTCTCCGGATGGGTCATGTAGCTGATGAGCGCGTCCTTGTTGGCACGCACATAATTGGCAGTCTCTTCTCTCAGGCCCTGGACACTGTGCCCTGGAAGACCGTTTACGATTAGTTGGTGACGTATAGACTGGTACAAACAGTCGCCATCGGAGGCTATGTGGTGCAGAGCCAGCTGCCGGCCGGTTAACTTGGCCGTGATCTGCTCCAACTCGATAAGCTTTGGAGATGGCTGGTTGGCAGCGTTCTGTAGCTCCACCTTGATTTCGGCCTCGCGGACACGTGCCTCCTTGGCCTTCTTGTCCCGTCGCTTCTGGGCCTTGGAAACACGCTGATTGGAGGGCGCCTGGTCCTCCTCATCATTTTCTTCTTGTTTGTCATCCTCTTTTACAGCCGGCTTCTTGACAACCTCCTCTGCGACGGCTTCTGTGACTTTTCCTGGTGCTTCCTGGGCCTCGGCTGCCTGCAGCTCTGCTTTCTGACGCTGCTCCAGCTCTCCTTCCAGACGTGCCATCTCCTCCAGGAACTCCTTTCGCTTGTTTTTGTTGTTCTTTGGAGCATTCTTTTTCATTGCCTGAAGTTTGGCCTGAAGTTCTTTCTTCTCCCGGCGGTGTCTAGCGGCCACATCCTCCAGATTCACTTCCTCCAGGCGGTTCTCCAATTCCACAATTGTCTCCTCCTCTCCTGCCATTTTATTTCTATTTTTATTTAATTTAATAATTCAGTAAATCTCGAAAAACAATTAGAAACAATTTTGGATAAAAAGTTGGCAGGTAGTGACAGTGTTACCACAGCTTGAGGGTTGAAATATACCAAATGTCAATGGAAAATACTAAAAAGTATTTCTAAATACTGCTATTAAGTTTTGTATATTTTAAAAATTATTTAATATAAGAGTTTTAAGATTTTAAGAGTGGAGACTTTTATTTTAAAAAATATTATATTAAAAATTGTTAATAATAGAACTTACAATTAAAAAGGTTCTTGTTTATAACAAACATGTTCTTCTTAAAGTTACTTAAAGTTAAAATTAAAACTCATAAATTTTTGATAAAAACAATATTATTTTTTAACATTTTTATTTATGCTAAACATAAAATGATCTATAGTGACAGACTAAATACATGCGATGCAAAGCGGCGAGGCACTTAATCAATTATTACACTTCGATATGAATAACACTAATTTAGAGTTCACGAACGTAAAATACAATTTTTTTTTTTAAATATTTACAGGAAATCTTTACAATTACACACATAATCTTTTTAAAACTTTAGTGAAACCTAAATACAATAGAATAGCTAGTGTCAGTTCCCTCGATCCTCGATGCTTGCACAATCTTCAAGAGTTGATTGAAAAGCTGACCACCAAGCCAGCTTCGTTTCTTAAAGCTTTCTAACACACTTCTTGTCGCTAATCGAATATCGCATTATTTACATTGGCGGACATCGGCGATAACTCTTAATTTACTTCATTTACACTAAAACAAAATAAAATGGGAAACTTAAAACATGGCTGGACATTAATGGGCTGCCTACCGAACCTTTTATATCCGAAGTGATTACTTAGCCACTAACCGAAATCTACGCACATTACTGCCTAATTCTAAAGTGATATCGCCTGTTTGCAGTCGAAAGTATAAAAGGAAGCACTCGGCTAACTAGGAAATATACCACAGAGCATTGTGGTCTACTCTCTTCCTATCTTAGAGGCTCTTAGTTATGTTCTGGAACAAGCGACGGCCCCACCACGATTCCAAATCGAAGGGCTTGAAGTCCTGAAGCGCCGGGCTGGGGGGCTCTACCCAAACCGTGGCGGCCGATGGAGCCGGCATCGGCGAGTTGGCAATAATGCTTTCCACGGGGCTGGATGCGTTGTTGTTGTTGGCATCTGCCAGAGGCTTCTCGGCGGGCTTGGCGGATGAGCTCGAGTCGTAGGGGTTCTGCGCCACTAACATGTTCCAAGCTATGAAAGAAAATCGTTTTAAATTAAACTAGGATTTATATTTTATATTAATATTAAATATTAAGGGTTCTTAAAGGAACAACAACAATATTATACCAAAATTGGAACTTTAATCGTTCCTTATTTAATTTTCTAGGCTGATCAAGACTTTGGAATGAAAAATACATTTCACGAACTCAGATAACAATGGATGAACATTGAACTCGTTTAGCTTAATATATGCCCAGTTTTTAATTTTAAATTCCCCTTAAAATTGTATATTCCTTTACCTATCTTGAAATTATACTTGATTCGTTAATTATAATCCTTTTTAGACTTACAGTCATTTATGTAGCGAATGATCTCCTCGTGCTGCGGCGTTATCACCTCATCCTCAATCAGCTTGGTCGGTGTTATCCGCTTGGAGGCAAAACTTTGCTGAAACACAGGTCGCGGTATGCTGTTTTTCCAAAAAATAAAAACACAAAAGAGTATTACAAATTATAATGACAATGCTACTGAATTTTCAACGACAAGGCACTTATGCAAACCCAAACAGAACTCCCCAGAACGCGTGGACTACGAAAATAAATCACTTGAAAGTCTGGTGGAGAAGGTGGGGACTGGATCGGGGTTCGACAGCTTGCAACTCAGTACTGGGAACGCTTAAGGCATTACAATTAAAAAGGGTGTGAGATCTTAATTAAATACAATCAGCTTCCTATATAAAATTAAAATTATCAAGGAAACTAATGTGGAGCTCCAGTTATATAAATTTAATGGAGTTACAAAAAAATCTGGTATTTGTTTATAAAGGTCCCCGATATTAATAAGCTTCATGTACTTTGGATCCGAATACTGATAACGACTGATTACATCGAGGGAAATGGATTTAGGAATATCTATATATATTTATTGACCAGGATCTACTCAGCGATAAGAAATCCAGTCCAAGAGCATACTTTTATAACATACGCCCTAGAAATTTCGCTGCCTGCATCGCTGTTAGGCGGTGTGACGTAACGGTTGGAAAAGTCATTGCCTCCGGGGCAAGTGGAGCCGATAACCCACGTGTTGTCTCCCGGCGAGAATGCCCCTTGGCAATTAGCAGGATGGTGCCAGGTCGCGGCGGATTCCTGCGATAAAATGTCAAAGATAAGACGAGGGTCTCTGCAGATGCCCTCCGCCTCCGACGACCCTTTCCACGTTTTCCACATGTGTGTTTGCATAAGCACCGAAATAATTATTTCAGATTCTCTTACTTTTTGTGTTCCTCGGGACTGTTGAGGTCGAAGCTGCCGTTCTTCCGGCTGCTCTCCTTGATGCTTTCGAATTTTTCAAAATTTTGTGCCAGACCTGCAAAAAACAAGGATGATGAAAATTATCAGCGCCGAGTGGAAAATGCCGGCAAAACAAAAAATTAACAGAGCCCCCACTCTCCCGGAGAGAGCATTAGATAAGAAGCGATAGGAAAACTGAGAGCATAGGCAGAGAGCGCTTGGGGCAAATGTTGTGACATAACAGCTGGGCAACATTTCTCTGCAAGGGTTTATTGTACCTTTTACCAAATAAATTCAATGCCAATAAACTTACCGCGACGCGTTTTAGCAACTATTTTGCTGGGTCCCTTGTTGATTGTGTACATTGTTGTTCGAGGAGTTGTCCTTTCGATATGGGCGTTGGGGTTGCTGTTTGTTTTTTATCTAGCGAACGGACTGCTTCCGTGCAAATTTGTACGACTACTATGTTTTTAGATTTATTTTTTTCTGTTGTCCACCTGAGTGACGTCTATATATGTATTTATTCTTGTTCTCGCTGTTGTTGTGGTCAATCTTGTGATCAGTGCATCCCGTCTCCTCTGCGCCGCCTTCTAGTCACTCCGCCGGTCATCGTTTAGATAGTTACACAATCCTCAGTTAGCTATGAGCTTGCTCTTGATTTGTTTATCGTCCGCGCCTCGACACCTTCCTCTCGAAAATCAATTGATTTCATTCATTGGGTTACATTCAGTTGGGTTGTGCTCCTTCGAGTGCGGTTTATAATAACGTTATCCGGACGGCGGTTGGAGCTTCAATGCGGCTGCATTCAAATAACGAAACGTTCGAGGGGGCTCGCTTAACAGAGCTCTCACCTACGCGACCCGTTTATGCGGTGCTGTTCATGAATTCATGAATTTTATTATTTTAAAACTAAATAATTGTAGGTCTATTCTTTTCAATCTTGCTCTGCTTACATTTTTAAATAAAGTTTTAAAATTAACATTACTCTAATTCCAAATCATAAACAATTTTCCTGCATAAACGCTGGAACTTATACACGTGTAAAGATAAGCCAGTGTGTACACGTTGCCCGAAAGAATATTCGAGGCGACCGACGCGCGTAATTTAAAATACATTAGGAACTGATTAGAAAGGAGGGAGTCACTTAAATTATTATATTTACAAAGAAGTTTAAATAAGTTTGGTATTTCCACTTTAGCAGATGGCTTTAAAACTAGAGATTTCAAAAAGACATTCGGGATTTCCGAAAGACAAAAGGCAGACGACATTTTTTTCTACCTGCATACTCAATTTTAAATGCATTAAAAGTGGATTAGCGGAAAATTTCACTGTTAAATAAAATGTGTAGCAGGTAGCACCATAAAATGACAGATGGAGACCGACTGAATTTTCCGCAATGTCGTTTATGACTTCCTTTAAAATTGCACACACACCAGAAGTATATAAAGTGTCCTGTGGGCCAAGGATAAGTCAGTAGCAGCAAGACTTTGTTAAGTAGAGCAACAGCTTCCTCACCAAATATTCAATTTGCGAAAATGTCGAACAACGAAACCAACCAACTTCTGCAGCGCCTGGTTGGCCTCAATATTGTGGAAACCCCCAAGGAGAAAACCGAGCTTGGAAAGCGAGAGTGCTATTCACTGGACAGCAAGAACTACAAAATGGTGCCCGCCACCCCCAGCAGCGGTGGACTCGGGAAGTTTCAAACCGATCTCAAGAAACGGCGCAAGAACAAACTCAACCGAGTCTACGCCTACGAGGCGGATAAGAACTTTATCAAGGCTCGGAAATCCTTGAATTTCTAATCATGTACTCATATTTTTTCCGATGTAATCAATTTAGACCTAAGCAACTCAGATTTCAAATCGAATACGCCTTGTAATTGTCCTAGCTCCGATACAATAAAATATATACCTATATTTCAAATATTATTTCAAATTCGCGCCTTGTCTTTGAAAATGTGGACCATTCGAATGATGGTGGCAGCCCTGCTGCTTGTGTGTTTTGTAGCACTGGTGAACAGCTGTTCTTGTGGCGAAACACACAAATTGGAGTGCGGATGCACAAAACATTAAAATTATTATAAATTTTGTTGGCAGCTTGTTTGTGGATTGTTGAACCATAATCCCAGCTTAGTAGTAATATCATTCCAGTCACGGTATACATATAATTCCACAAATACACAAATATGGCAGATATAGCCACAACCAACGAGGGCAGTTCCAACAGTAGCGAAGTGGAGCAACACCAACCGACACCGGAGTTTCTACAACGCAAAATTTATTTTCTGGTCGATCAGCTAAGGAAAATGCATGAAGAGCTGCCCGAGTAATGCTAACATAGCACAACATACTTCCTTCTTAAACTAATTAATGTCCTATACCTGCAGGAACCTTCAGACACGCATATCCTACGATTTACTCACCGAACTCGCCAATTGTGTCCTGAACGAGGGCATCTTCGTGATAGTTAAGGCTCTGATGGATTTGCAACACGAAACAGAAAGACATCTCATCAAAATGCGCCAGCAGGTGGAGAACGAATACGAAATTGAGGTGGCGCAGTGGAGACTTAAAATCAAGGACCCCGAGGAGCTGCACCACCTCCTGGGTCTAATGAAAATCAAGCACACAAAGAAACTAGTCGAGTCTGACAAGAAGATTATTGAAATACTAGATCAGAAGGTAGTTTACTTATTAACTCCTAGTTTTCACGCTATTTTCTCCCAAAAAATCGCTTTTTTATTTGGAATTCAATCGATTTACTTTACTATTCTTTTTCCAGGTTAACGACCAACAATCCACTCTCCAAAAAGCCGGCGTACCGGGCTTCTATGTCACTGAAAACCCCAAGGAGATCAAAATACAAATGTTTTTGCTGGACTTTATTTTGCGTCTAAGTCGTCTCAAGTATGAGCCTAACAAATAGCATACGGTTGCCAATCCGGATCCAAAAAAAGACTGCACTTGAATTGTTTAAATTAGAATACTTAAATCAATTAAATTATTAACCCTGATCAAATTTACCAGCTGTACGATCCATTGTGATACCAAGAAACCTGTAGCGCTGCGCAGTTTTAATCAGCGAAGAATTGAGAGTGGGAGAGTAGAGAGTAGTCGGGCCGCGAGTGGTAGAACGGGAGAATTGATAAAGATAGCTCGCCTCTTCGCGAAGAAAGCGGAGAGTCGGAACTATAAATTGGGGCGACCGGTCTGCAGATGCATCAGTTTTGCTTTGAATTTCCCAAGCAACACATTTTAATCTAAAAAAAAAAGTGAAAACATGTCCCTGACAATTACACCAACTGTTTCGCATCCTGAACTTAAGGATCTGGTGAGTTTCCATTGTCCTGATTTTTTTTTCAAGTGAAAAGTACTCCGACAAGAAATAAATATCCTTTGAAAAGTGATTCTATAAAGTAATTGAAGTAAAATAGATTTGATTTCTTTTAAATCTCTTCAAGTTTCTTGAACTTGCCAAGGTCGGGTGGCCAAAAATTGTTGTTTTATGCTTGCTCATAAAAGCCAGTTTCCGTCATCTAATGTAAATGATTCACCGAGCGCAATTAAAGCTCTGGCGAATACATTATTGTTGGCTTGAGGAATTTGTCATGATTTGTTTTGGCCAGCTTTAGTTGCTTCCCAACAGCTGAGCCGTTTGCACGAAATGTTTGCGCGTTTGTTTCGTAATTTCAAGGCAAGTTTTAAGTGTTTCAAAAAGAAGTTAAGTATTTATTTTATAATTTGTTTTTTAGTTTATTCAAATTTTATTTTGTTCGCCAACTTAAAATCATAAATCTGTAACTTTTACTTTTTGTTTAACAATTTTTGCTATTGACCTTGATTTTGTAATGGTGTTGGGGCTGAAAGGGGGGCTATTTCCCAATCAGCTGTTTGTGTGCATTTCAAAGAGAAGAGAAGAGTGCAGCTGAGAGACAAACTTAAAAAAAAGAGAGAGTGCCAGACCAAAGTGCGGCGTTAAGCGAACAAAGCGGCGAAAAACTGCCGAAACATTTTTGTTTTTTTAAATAAACTGCAAAATAGTGAAAAATTATTTATAAAAAATTAAGAATAAAATGCGCTGCTTGCCGGGCTATGGCTATGGCCTGACCTTTTTGTTTCTGGTGTGCCCTAAAAACAAAAAATCTGCTCATTTTTGGTTGAATTTGTTGCTCATCCGCCCCGCTTCTGCTTCTTCTTCCAGAGCACCGTTCGCAATGAACAGAAGGAGCTGAACATCAACCCAGTGCACCATGTGAACATACCCAAGGCCACTGCCACCTTTGGCATGGGCTGCTTCTGGGGAGCCGAGTCCCTGTACGGCGCCACCCGCGGAGTGCTAAGGACGACCGTGGGATATGCCGGCGGCAGCTCGGACTTGCCAACGTACCGTAAAATGTAAGAGGCGAAGACACCGAGCATTGGTCATCCTAACACGAGCATTTTGTTTCTGTTTTCCATACAAATACCCTCATCTATCCAAACCTAATCCTTTCGGATCGCCGTACTAACTCACGCAATCTCAACAGGGGCGATCACACGGAGGTCCTGGAAATCGACTACGATCCCTCGGTGATCAGCTTCAAGGAGCTGCTGGATCTCTTCTGGAACAACCACGAATATGGTCTGACCACGCCCATCAAGCGGCAGTATGCCTCCTTGATTTTGTTCCACGACGAGGAGCAGAGGCAGGTGGCTGAGGCATCTAGGCTGGAAGAGCAGGAGCGACGGGCTCCGGAGATTATCACCACGGAGATTGCGCCGAAGAACAACTTCTTTGCTGCCGAAGCGTAGGTTTCCCTACAAAATTCCTTAAACTTGATGTTAATTATTTTATTTTTTATTTAGTTACCACCAGAAGTACAGATTGCAAGGCCACAAGGACCTGGCATCCTCCCTGAATCTTAGCCCCCAGCTGCTGCAGTCCAGTTACGTGGCCACCAAGCTGAACGGCTACTTGGCCGGTGTCGGCGGCATCGAGCAGTTCAAGTCTGAGGTGGAGACCTTCGGCCTGACCCCAACCCAGCGCCAGTACTGCAACTACCATGTCGAGCAGAACGAGGGCCAGGGACTCTACTGCTGACATGGTCGCCTGTGCATAGATGTTAAGCGTAGATCATACACATAGGGGGGTCATTTTCTGATTTGAATTTGTTCAAAACAAAAGCTTGTATTATGTAGATTTTAGGGAATATTTGAAAAAAATATACATTTTATTATAATAATAAAAAATATCTCAAAATAAACTTGACAATCTTTTAATTTTGTGGAATTTGGATAAATCCTTAGCATTAAATGAAGATTTCAAAAGCATTTGAGCTTAATATGGACTTCAAAAGATTCTTCCCGGCAAATAAAGATATTCAGCTACGTGCTAAACTTTTTTGAAAAAAAATATAATAACCTCTGATAACTGACTAATCTGAGATGATAAACAGCTTGCAAGTCATATTAAGTTCCTGTCCAGGATCCTGCGTTATCTGGGCCAAGCTGACTGATAACGATTCTGCCAGGTCATTTGTTTATTCAACTTTAATGAGTTTGCATTGCTGTCAAGAAGTGATCGAATTTTTGCTGAAAATTAGCTTTTTGATAGGAACATTCTATAGAGACATGCTTATATATTTTTGTGAAACACAACACATGTCAATGGATCTTTTAATCTATACAATAGTCCTTCCTTTCTTATATTATCGCCGAGACCTCTTCAAATTGGAAAACATTTTTTCAAGGACAATAACCATATGTTACTGAACTCTTAGAGACTTTTTGCAAAACTAATTATAGATAGTTTCCTATAGCTAATTAATTTCAGTAATATATTATGCTTCACTTTTTATATGAATGAAACATTTCAGTCTATAAATTTTTAAAACTATCATTGGATCAGATCTATCCGATAAGTGGGGTAGTTTACAATTAACTTGAGAGGCTATAAATTAGTGCGAATGACTAGCTTTAATAGATCGAAAATAGAAATGCACCTAGTCATTGGCAAAAATATGATTAGGGGAAATGCTTCAAGTAGTTCTTATATTTAGAAAATTGTTTAATTCGATTTGTGAAATCAAAGTTATATTCTTTTTTGTATAAAATAAAAGTTATAAAACTAACCAAGAACGTTGAACGAAAGATACGAACTCAAAGAATGTTTTATTTATTAATTTTAGATTAGAATTCTTAATTCTATTTCAAAATAGACCAAACCAAATGTTAGGAAGTCAATTTTTATAATCTATCTATTACTATCTAATACTGAAATATATCTTATATTTGATTTATTTTATATAAGAAGAACCATTATCCAGACCTTCAACCCAAAAACTTTCCCGCGTTGACCGCTCTTGATTATTTTTGATTAGAGGGAGCACATGGTCTCTATTATTCTTTTCCTCCCACAGACTGCCAAGGCGGAAAGCCATATATACTATAATTAAATACATATCTCTGAACTGCCTCTCTGAACTGGGACTCTCTCCAAAAGCCGGTTCGCCGCGTGTTTGGCGATAAGTCCGAGCAAACCGATGAGTAGGCGAAAATAGCAATGAATTTTTTGTTTACAGCGAATGAAAGATTTAAATTGTTTTTTGTTAATTGATTTCTATATGAGAGAGTCCTTCGAATAGGATGGAATTCGGTTAGCCCATACTACTCCCTCTGAAGTATCTGATTCCTTTTGAATCATTAAAATCGGAGAATCCACTGATGAGTGAGAAACTTTTGCGGTTTAAGGAGTTTCCAGGAGTGCTATCGCCTTCCATTTCAGACAGGACATAGTTCAAGGGGAAGGCTACGACCTTCCAAATTTTCAACCTGAAATACCGAAAACTTAAGCAATGGCGAATTTTACAAGATCTTCCGTTATACGTTCGCCAGGGGAAGAAGAAGAGAGGCGTTCGTCAGACGCCCGATAGACATAATAAACTAAAATCGGCAACAACTACAAAAAAGCAAAAGTTGATGCCGGAGACGAGGCTGTCTCTGTATTAGTCCCACGGGTTGATAATAGTGTGTAGTTTCTGTAGCCGATCGGGGGAGAAAGGCGATGGGATCCGGGGTGTACTAATCAATGAGTCTAAAAAGAGTCGTGCTCATGTTGCACAAGATTTCGATGGCCCAGGGAAAGGTCATTGGGGCTCTTCCTTTTGTATGTAATCAAAGTGATTTGCATGAAACAAAAATATTCGCCATAAATTGAAACGAAAGACAAAACATGAATACTTGCAAATCATTTTGTTTTAAAAAATATACAATTAAAAATTGTGATTAAGGAAAACGTGGAAATTTTTAAAGTCATCGCATCCGATAAGGATTTTTGAATTTGTTTATTTTTCAGTAAGCCTATAGAGAATCTTATTAAAAAGTAGTAAATATCATAATTTCTAAGCTATTAAATTACAAAAACCACTCGAAAAATTTGTTGATTTATAGATTTGGAAGTCATAGGTCAAGGATCTTGTTTCTAAACTAATCTAATCCTTTTACATATTACCTTTCCCTTTTCAGATTATAGCCAATATTCAAGTGGCTCATATTTTGTTACCAAGACAAGTTAAGCCTTCCAAGGGCAAAATGGCTTAGATAAGGTGAAAGACCAAACGCACTTAATCTTCAAGTTGAAAGAGATCGTTAGCACTTAGCAAGGTCGCAGAAAATAGAGATCATTAACCTATTCAAAAAAGATACGATTTTTATGGATATGTTTCATAAATTCTATCTTTAAAAGATAGATCTATCTATCTTGAAATGGTAAGGCAACATACATTTTTAATACTTACATATTGTTTATTTATTTAGTAGAAACGTTATAGTCCGTAGAATGTAGATAATTTTGGGGACATGTAAAAATATAGTCTTGACCTGTATCTGATTAAAAACCTTAGCCTATTTGGAGAATAGCATAGCATACTTATTGGATGATTCTGTTTTTCAGATTGATACAGAATTGATAAAAAAAATCGTTATTCTGGTTAAGACTAGGATGATAAATGAAAAAGACATGGGATTCACTGGGGGCGTCAAAATTTGCAAGGGCTCCCAGAAAAAAGGAAGTAACATATTAATAAAATAGGTGTCTAGTATTATATGGCATTTTTAATGAATAGCCGATGTAGAAATTGTCGAAAGGATGCCGATTAAGAATTGGAGCACCATATTGGCCCCCAGGAATTTTCCAAAATTTGGAAGGTGAAAAATTTTTCCAGAAACTTTGAAAAAATTAAAAAAAAAATTGGGTGACTAGTTATCGATGCAAATTATTAAAAAATCTGAAAATCGTTTAAGGTGCACCGCTTGAGAATCAAATGAATTTTGGCAGAGATATGGTCTTCACTAGGGGCCACCACGCATTTTCCACAACTTTAAGGGTTACCATCAGAAAATGTGTTAAAAAATTTTAAAAATTTGGATTAATGGGTAATAATGGGGTGATTATTGACAAAGTTATGGCCTTCCCTGTTCCAACGGGTTCCAACAAAAAATTAAAAACATTTTTTTTTTCAATTTGATGTGAAGTTGTTGATGAAAATGCTTTGAGATTCGATCCAGAAATTTGATCTAAGGTGTCCCGTTTAAGAATCGAATGAATATTATCAAAGGTATCACATTCGCTGAAGCTACATAGTATATTGGAGCACCCGGAAATTTTTCAAACAATTTTATTAAAAAAGAATGGAGTTTCGATTTTTTATTAAAGTTTATTGAAAATCAATCCACAAATGGTTTAAGGTATTCCTCTCAAGAATATGATAATTATTGGCAATGATAAGGCCTTCCATAGGGGCCTCTAATTGTGAATGGTTTAATTTTTTTAAGAAAAAAGACCTGATTTATTCATTTAATAACATGTTTTTTATTTATGGCACAGTTTTAGTTTTTAGTTGACAAAACCCTATAATTGATCTTTATTTTAGGATCACAGCGAGCTCTGCAAGAAATAACTATTGCATACTTGAAAGAACTTAAAAACAAACTTAAAACTTAGTACTGCATACAACAGGGAAGCACATCGATATGTCAAGTAGACCACAAATTATCCTTTTCAAAATTTAAATCCTCAAGGTGAGACGTCTCTGAGGCTTAAGCCGATCCTTCTCCGATCGATCTTTGCGGAGTCGTAGGATTTCATCACCAAGGAGCTCCCGGCGTCGGCTGGGTGTTAGATCCACTTCCATATCAAATTTTGTTTCCAATTTTGGGGATCGCCGGCTTAAAACAAAGTTCCCAGAGTCCTTGGCAAATAGCTTTTGTTTACGCATTTCAACATATCGTTTGGGGGTTTCCAAGCCAGATTCCTCCCTTCTTTCAGCTACATCCATGGGTTCTCCCTCTATGGCCAAGAGTTCCTTGAACATGTCGTCAAAAGCCGTGTAGTAGAGCGTGGAATCGGCGGAGGACATTGTGAACCTGATGCTGGCGAGTAACTGAGCTGAAAAGTGATTGAAGCCAGACAGGGGTCGACGAGTTGAAAATGCATTTGCACAGGCCACCAGACCCGGGCTACTTTTCAACCCTCAGGGTTCTAGGATCCTACCTACCTGATCCTCCACAATGGTATACACACAAACTAGAAAACAGCTGGTAAGGCCAAAGATGTGGGAATGAGGTAATGAGGGGTTTCCCTACGGGCAGTCCTTCCTGGTTTTTTTCACCCCGGCTATATGTCACCCCGGACATATTGTAAATTCTGCAACTAAGATTTGTTTTTTTTTAATTTTCTAAACTCTTAAGGTTCTTTAGCTTCTATTTATTTTTCTTTTTGAGTTTTTAAACCTATTATATTAGTCCGCTTGTTTGTTTATTATAGATGAGAATAATATACGTTCAAGAACTTGTACAGCTGGGTATCGACACACCGGAAAAGTCAACTAAAATCTTAAAAATAGGAGTGAATCAGAGTTGACGCTTCAAAAAGCCCAACCCTATTAAAAAATAGAAAAAACCAACCGAATGGCCCATTGAGTTTCGGGCCAAACAATCAATATAGATAAGAAATAAATCCCATTATGGGCATCCGAATTGATTAGATTAAATAAAATACAACGATATGATTAGTTTCGTTTCGTTTTTTTTGGAGTTATATTATTTAATTTATTTAGCCTACTGTTTAAATTCAAAAGCCTCAGATCAGTACTCCTTGTTAAAGTAGTCGCGGATGCTACGTTTAACAATGGGGGCCACATGGTTCGCCACCTGCTTCGTCACCTCATCGGCATTCTTATCCTTGTGGTAGAAGACTGTGAAGTAGACGATCAATCCGATCACGACGACCATCAGGAGGGCGGAGACGATAATGCTCATTAGCATTTTGCAGGCGCAGTTGCAGCAACTGAAATAAAGAAGTAATGGTTAGACATTAAAGGATTTGACATGGGTTAGGGTTAAAACCCTTTAAGTTGTATATGAACTTCTAGTTTATTATATAGAATTAAGTTCACGTGTTGCATGACCGACTAACACCACTGACATATCGATTTTTGGCCCTTGACATGTGTAAGTATAAAAGTTAGAGTGCAACTCCATTGAATTTTCAGTATTTATACATCCAATTCTTCTCTTATTAGATTGAAAAGTAAAAAATGTATCTTTCTAGAAATTTCACCAATAAATCAAATTCAAGCATTCCGATTAATATGTTGCCTAAGATTATACTATCACTTAAATAAACAATATCCGGTCAAGGTATCCCGTTTACGGGTCAGATAACAATGGTGATCAATGAGTCAGGAACCGGTGGAAACTTACCAGCACACAACTTTGCCGGGGCATTTGAGGCATTCACAGAGAGCGTTGCACATGGTTGGAGCTGTTGGGGATTATCGAGTGTTATGTAGAGAGCAATTATTGGGTGCTATATTCGCAGCGAGTACTCCAATCCTTTTTTTACGCCGGAGCACGTTGTGGTCTGGGCCAAAACAAATGAATAACTGAGGGAATATTGAGTGCGGCTGAGTTATACAGGTATTGAAAGCTCTAATCATATCGGGGGGGAAAGAACAATAACCTGATAACGAGTCAGTTATAATTAACACCACGAAAGCGATAGTACGGAACAGATATTGGGTGAATGAGCTTACACCCCCTAGAGGAAGATTGGGATACATTTTCCAGACTAGAGGTGCGTCACTTGTATCTTGCAATGGATCCATCCTGGAGTTTAAGCCTTATTGCGGGAATTATATATTTTTTAAAATATTTCAGCCCTACTGTTATTTACACCTTATCTACAAATAAAATTCCAGCAAAGAACTAAACAAACGGAAAGCTTGTTTACGATTTATAAAAGTCTGGAACCTTTCTATTAAGATGGTAGAGGCCTATCTAGATGATTCAGTCAGACAGTCCCTGACAGTGATAAATGGTTCCATTCGGAAATAGATAAGCTGCATACATTGTAGAATATAGATTGATTAAAGACAAGAAACAGAATGGTAGAAAGCATGGGTTTTACCCTTTAGTGGTTCTCTATTTATAAAATATTAAGTGGGCTAGCATATTTCTGTTATCAGTGATATTAACAGCGATAAAAAGTAAAAAGTAGGTTTTATTTACTCTATATTCAGAGACTATAGTTGACTAATCAACCCAATTGAACCAACGTCAAACACATTATTGTATCGTAAATTTATGGCCCTCTTTTTTAGGGTATTATACGTCAAAATTGTCTTAGCTTAGTTCATACCTTTAATATTTTGACGGGGATTTACATAAGCATTTTGGCAATTCCAAAAAACATTGGTAATCTACAATGACAAAGCCCATAAACCGATAATAAAACGGAAAATATAGCTTGAAAGCTCTGATAAGAATTTATAGCCAATAAGTCATAAAACTAGTCGACTAATGTTAAACTAATCACTTTAATCAACTATTTAGGGTAGGTTAATTCCACAGAATTTCTTGAGAACTTTATTTACTTTCTTTCAATGTTGAAATTCCTAAAAGATATATTTATAAAAGCGTTTTGAACTAAAGGTCCTGTATATCAGATAGATTTACCTCAAAAAAGTTACTATAGCTACAGATCTTTTTCAAAACTCTTCGTTTGTTTAGATACAATAGATATATCATAATCCTTTCCTTTTTGATTTTATGTAGTATAAATATTATTTCTTTAACGAAGGTATATTTATGTTTACATTTAAGGTGGGAACATTACAATACCCCACTTCTAAGACTCTTCATATAAAAGAAAAATAAATAAATACCTGATATCAGCTATTAATGGTTAATATTGACCCATAAACTTGGTTATTATTTGTGTAATAAAAAATAATTTTCAAAACGAATCGAGTCATTTGTTTAGACACATGACCTGATCTATTTGAAAGGCTATTGCAATGGTGCTATTAGTATAAAACTAGAAAGAAAAGCTAACTTCGGGCGGAGCCGAAGTTGATATACCCTTGCAGTTAAAACCGGATATATATTGCAAACCGAAAAACCATTTCCGATCGTTCAGTTCTATGGCAGCTATAGGATATAGTCGGCCGATTCTAATGAAATTTTGCAGGTTGGAGCTGACCAAAAATAGAATATGTACTAAGTTTCAGCTTTCTATCTTCAAAAACACGAAAGTTGGGTCATTTCCGATCGTTCAGTTATATGGCAGCTATAAGATATAGTCGGCCGATCCTTATGAAATTTGGCATGTCGTTTGGCCAAAGATAGCTCTCGTGTCAAATTTGAACTCTCTAACTCTAAAAACACCATAGTTATACCATTTCCGATCAATCAGTTATACGGCAGCTATAGGATATAGTCGGCCGATCCGGGCCGTTCCGACTTATATACTGCGTGCAAAGAAAAGAAGGATGTGTGCAAAGTTTCAAGACGATAGCTTTTAAACTGAGAGACTAGTTCGCTAGTAGAAACAGACAGACAGACGGACAGACGGACATGCTCATATCCACTCAGGAGGTGATCCTGATCAAGAGTATATATATTCTTTATGGGGTTGGAGATGTCTCCTTCACTGCGTTGCACACTTTTGGACAAAATTATAATACCCTCTGCAAGGGTATAAAAATGCTCTTTAATAATAGTGAGCATTAATGCAGGTCGCCAATATTCGTGTTTGTTTGCGACACTCGATACTACTGCCACCAACTGCTGATGTAGACAGTTTGGTGCAATTCTTCCGGCATACACAACGTAAGCAATCGACCTGCTCCAAGCTTAGTACTGATTCGCGTTCGATGATGGCCACACAAGGTGTCCTACGATTGGGGCTCTTAAACATCCTCCTGGCCTTGGCCTGCGACGCCTGGCTCTTGGCCCAATCCGGCCTAAACGAGTCCAGCTACCATGTGCGTCATCTCTCCATGCATTATTCGCGCGTCTTTCTCAGTGTGAATGTGGAAAATAATGGTTCTCCCACACTGATCGAAGCTCAGTGGCCAGTTTCGTACTTTCCCATGCCCACAGTGGTCTTTCCTCGACGCGATGTCCACGCCAATGGAGACCCCGAGGACTGCTCTCTGGTGCAGCAGGCGCACTGGTCCCAGGTGGATGGCCTGAGTAGGCTTTGGGTCATGGACGTGGGATTCCCGGATGGAAAGTGCCCTCCGCGATTGTTTGTCTTCGACTTGATGCGCAATAATGCGGAGCTGCTACGCATTGATTGTGGAAAGCACATACCTCGAGAGGAAACCCAATCCCTGGTGGTGCAAATGGGTCCTAAGGGCTCTGATTGCGAGCAGGAGCGACATATATACTTCATCTTTGGCCAGCTATCGGAGCTAGTTGCCTATGATATTCTGGAGCAGACCTGGAGTCTCAGATCTCTGGCAAGCCACAAATACGAGATGATGAACCAAACCTTTCCGATAACACCCGTGGACTTTACATTCGGCCTGCAAGGAGAACTGATCCTAGCCGACCAGGATGGTGCTCTCTACAGCACCGTGGAGAGAATGGAAATAAATGGAAGAAACGAACTGAAATCAAATTCTCTTAACAACGACTTGCAACTCACTCCTTTGGGCAACTTACTGGGCACTAGCCGCAGCATGATTATGGATTCATTTGGAACTCTGTACTACGTAATCCCCAAATTCGGAGCAGTAGTGCGATGTACTAAACTATCCAACATCACAGCTGAGAGCAATGAAATCATATACCTCACATCCAAAAACATTCAACAGATATTTTTTGCCTCCAACGAAGCTTTATGGGTGCTAAGTGATCGTGTTTTAAAGGCACAGGACATGTGCTTTCCAAACTTATAAATAAATATTAAGGATTACCTCTCTATAGTTGTCGTTTGCATTAAATAATTTATTATTTGCATCTGGCTTGGTGATGGTTTTCGTTTGGTTTGATAATAATGCTATGAATAGTGACCAAAATGGACCAAAAACAATTAAATTAATGGCTAACAGTTTGCTTATTTAAATATCCCATCAATGCCTGCAGTCGCTTCTTGATGTTCTTCTGATCATCTAGAGTGCAGCCCAGCAGGGCACTTTCGAATTTCTTGTCGATGGGGCCCACATCCGCTTCGGGCACGGTGTCCATGTAACCAGATGGATCCATTGAGCTGCTGCAGCAGGCATTTAAGTACAACTGACAACGTTGGCGAGCGATGACCGGATCGCCCATCTTGATCATGGTGTCTATCAAGGCATTGATCTGGCTTAGCGAATCCTCCTGAGAATTGTCGCGAACAGTGCGGACGTTGAGTTCCACGGTGCCGAGTCGGGAGCTGACTCGCTGAATATACAACATAATCTCTTCCCGTTCAGCTGGTATAAGAAGAGATTTAATATATAACCCTTTTGATAGAAAGTGCAATGCTTACCCTCGCTCATGTTCTGCATCATTTCGTTGCTCTTGATTAGATCAATGGACATCAAGAGATAGTCTTTCTTCTCCTGCAAGTTGAGTGCATCTTTGCGCAGTTTCTCCACCCGTGCATCCATCTGGTCTATTATGTTGACGAACCTGCAAGTCACTCGTTTATTAGTCACGGTTAATGGCCTGTTAATAGCTGGTTTACCTTTCGTTGGCGTTATATGGTCTGTCGCATTTTGGTTAAATGGTTTCGCGGTTTCAGTGTGATGGTTAAGTCATGAAAAGAAACAAGCAACGTTAGGCTGTTAGATCGATTTGCCTTTGATCGGAAACCCACTTGGGGAGCTACGAAACGAATCATAACCAGAATAGGTCTACAAAAGAAACATACAAGAGGCGCTCGCACAACGTTTTTGGAGGTTGTGTGGGCGTCCCAGCAGATACTTTTAGCTATCACCATTATTGTTATGGAACTAAAGAATCAAATGAAGCTGGTAGCAGTGTGAAGAAATAATAGATAAGAAATTATAAGTTTTGGTTCGTGTTGTGTTCGCTACAAATTTGTTTGTTGTTTGTTTTGGTTATAGTTTTTTTCTGATTGTATCTGATTTGATTTATGTAGGATTGAATAACAACCTGTCCAGAGTCCTACTGTCGTCGACAAGGCCGTACGAGTTGCTGCCGCCATTGCCACCGGCGCCTGCTCTGGATCCGGCCGCCGATGAGGAGGCGCCAGCACGCAGGTCTTGCAAGTAATCGAAGTTCATTGAAGCCTCGGACTGGTAGTCGCTGGGTGAAATTCGCTGCAGATTAGGATGGTGGGGGTGATGCTCCTGCTGTTGGATCAGATTAGAATCGCTGGTGTGCTGCGCTAGGGGCGCATCAACTTCCATATCCTGCGGCTGATCCACGGTGATTACAACCTGCCGCCGTCCTGGGGATCTTCGATCTCTACACACCTATACACTTCCGGTGTTATAATGCTGTTGATCTCCCCGCTGACGATCGCCTACTGGCTTACTTATTTTTTTTTTTTGGCTTTGTTTGGCGTTAGGCCGCCGCTGGTCGCTACTCTTTTGGAATGTTTTAAGCTTTTCGAGTGGGTGTCGAAGAGTGTTTGATGCTGTTGCTTATTTTGTATTATTTTATTTCTTTCTGTTTCTTACACACGCAAGCTGTAAGAAGAGAGAGAGGAAGCGTGAATATGAAGTATGCAATTACCTATCGATTTGCTGTGTGTTGTGAAAATACGCATCCACCCAGGAGTCACTAAAGCCATCGTTGGACAAATCATCCGGATAACGACCCATTAGTCCGGGGCCCTCGGCGGGTGGAGGTGGTTGGTAGTGCGCTGGTTGTGGCGGAGGCGTGGGTGGTGTTGGGGGCGGGTCGGACTCGCAACGCCGACGTTTACGGAAAATACCACGCAAATTCTCCAGCATTTCGGGACTGGGGCTCTTACGTGCGCTCTAGAAGATTCGAGGAGCTTCGCCGGCCCACTTCTCAACGTGCTCCGGCGTCCAAATTCTGTAAGAGATCTTCGTGTCTGCGTATTTTTGCATAGATTACCTGGGGCCCGACCCTGCACTTTGATATATCGTAAAATCCCGATTTTATAAAGGGAACTCTGTTTCGTTGTTTTTACTTTTGTTGTTTGTTTGATTTTGAGTGACGGACAAAGTCGGTTTACGTAGATTCGTATTACTCGGTGCTTAGTTACATGTTTCAGAGTTTCGATTTCTTACTTATAGATTATATTGCATTCGATTTTGCTTATATATAGTTAAGAATAAACATAGATTGTGATTAACTTTACATTATATAGTGGGATTAGTGTGACCGTGTATGGATGGCCGAAAAATGACCTCATTAGTTTGGGGTAAGACCAATCGAGTATATTGTTAATCGAATATATTGGTAAATTTATAAATTTGGAGAAATTTATGAAATTATTGAGCTAAATAATAAATACTTCCCAAGAGATAAATTAATGAAAAGATTTTGTTTATAAAGAATTTGGAATTTGGAAGAAATCAGGCTTATGAATCGTCGTTCCTTTAATCTCAACTTATATATGGGTTTTATTTGTAAGTCTTTTTAATATATATAAAATATGGTTATTTACCTTTCAATTTTTAACATAGAAAAGGACAAACTGAAAAAAAAAAAAACCGAAAAGTTTCCCGCGAACATTTAAAAAACAAATGTTATCGTTTTATATGAGAGTCCATCTCTAATACAAACAGCTGTTGTACTCCCCCTACGAATTTTTAACCGCGTTGCACGTGTTGCAATTTGTTTTCAATTATGTCCAAGTTTCTTTCATATTACAACCTATTTCCTATACCGGACCCCAAGGAGTTTTTGGGGCTGGCGTCGGACAAGGAAAAGGGGAACGTGGTGACTACACTGGCGCGCAACGTGGTAGTGGTTCTTAACGTAAGTTTTAAGGCTTAAATTCAAACTGCCACAGAAATATAAGTGAAATTATTTACAGATAAGCACACAGAAGCAAATCCTCAGCTGGTCTCTTCCTGAGAAGCTTTCGAGCAAGGTGATCTTCGATCCCAGCAGCCAGAAATATGTGGGAGTCTTCGGGAACCATGCCCTGCGCCTGTGGGATGTGGACACCAGCGATGTGTCTAAATCTAAAAAGCTAAAAGTGGGTAAAAAAAGACAAATAGACGATGGACCTCACCTTTTTACTTATTTAATTTTCACAAATTTAGTTCCAAAAAAGCATAGCCCACTTGGTGGAAACCAATCAGGAGGCTCTGCTCCTTTATAGCGATGGGGAATGCCAGCCGCTTTCACAGGCCCTCGCGGCTCGAAAGGATCAGGTCGAGGAGACCGCCGAACAACTGGCTCTGGCCGCTAGTAAGATTATAAGCAAGCCCTCGGTTTACACAATGCCCGAGGGACATCAGGTGCTCACCTATTTCCAAGAAACCAAAGCCACTGGGGAACTACAGCTCATCCGGTTGTCCTTGTCAACTGGAAACCGAAGGGAATTCCTTATTAAACGGGAGGAGGTTCGGCTAACTGGCTATGCTGTCATTGAGGGCGACACTGCGCCTCAGTTGCTTACCATTTGTGAGTCAATCCATTGCCACCAGAGAAGTCTCATTAACATTCCATTTCAGGGTCTGACAAGCGCATCTTTATGCTAAACCTGGCGGAGCGTGGTTTTGAGCGTTCGCCGGGACAATTTGTTTCCATGCTGGCTGAACTAAATGTGGAGAGCAAGATGTCCGTACACGGAGTATCGCGCAACTTCGCAGCTATCTACGGAGCCAACTACGGACAGGAGGGTGCCTCCCTGCTGGTTTACAACACACAGTTCAAGGTTGTCAACGCAAAGCAGTACTTTAAGGTCTACTTGGACTTCTCTCGGCTTTGGGCCGGGGATGAGCACATTCTTTTGGCCATGGGTCAGAACATAGCTGCCGTGAAATACCGAATGAACCAGGAAGTCCTCGTGGACATGCTGGGTTCCCAGCTCAGCGACACCCATCTCACAACCCTCGAACTAGATCACATCAACGAGGAGGAACACCTCGAGTCAGTCATCAAGTTTGATGGCAGCACAAACCCCATAAATTATGGTTTGGCCAAAAAGAAGTTGAATAAGTTGGTGGCGACGTCAAATTTGGAAAAGGCTGATGGCAGGGAGTTGGCCTATGAGCCACCAGAGTTGGTGGACCAGGAACTGAGTGACCTTATCAAGCACCATGTCCACGGAGAGGTGACGAGTTGCGAGAACGGCTTGGAGAACGTGAGCGTGACCCTGATGAGCAATTTCTTCGATGCCGGACCGATGAACACGGCTGTCCAGGCGTTGGTGCGGCAGTTGGAACGAAGTGGAGCCGGCGAGGAGGAGATCATCGAAAAGATACTTACCCTATTCATCAAAACCGACAACGCAGAGCATGTGCTTATGTCTCTACGGCGATACAGCAACATCTCCGAGAGAATGCTGGCCTGGTCACTGCGGTATGCCCTCGACAAAAATGTCCAAGCACCCCGCATTAATGGCCATGCCAAGGGGGAACCTATGGAAACCAATCAATCCAACAATGAGCTTCTAAATGCCGTGCTCGCCTGCAGCTTTGACGCCACTGCCATTGAGGATCATCTGCGGCATCGTTTGGAACTTCCACATGTCATTCATCTGATGAATCATCTGTATAACCTGGCCAGCGATCCCAAAGCTCAACTAGAGGAGCGTCCTAACCGGGATTCCTCTTTGGTGCAAACCGAAGTTCAAGCCCTACAATGGTTTGGCAGCCTCCTGACCTCCCACTTGACCCTGCTGATCATCTCCAAAGACGAAGGTCTACTGCACACCCTTACCAAATGGGCCGAACTTCTGTCGTTCTACCAAGAAAGCTTATTCGATATCGCAAATGTATTGCCCCTGCTTACGAATATTGTTGAGCAGCGAGAGATAAAGCCAATTTACTCCACCACGTGGTATGGAGTCGAGGAGGTGGTTCTTTATTAAGTAGAGGAAGATGTTTTAAAACTATTCTTAAGAGGAAATTGTAGAAAATAAAAATGTTATTATTTTAGGTAGAGATGTGGTTTTATTTGAAAACTTAGTATTTTCGAGTATAATTTTATCAAATAGTGTTGAGGGTTGAGGGTTTCAAATGCTTTCAGTGCTTTGATCCTTTGTGCCATTATCCAGGCACTAACATATTTAAGGTTCATCGAAACTCCAAGAATTTTGGGTAGATGCATTACTGGTGCCCTAATTTGTTAAAGTTTTATCGGATATAATTTTATCAAATAATTAAACGTCAAGAGGTGTATTTGAGAGGTTATAAAACCTTGAAGGTTTTAAGTGCTTTCGGTGCTTTGATCCATTCCATTGTTCAGACCCCTAATAATATATTTACGGCTCATCGAAACTACAAGAATTTTGGTAGTATTACTGGAGCCCTAGTTTATTATAGTTAATGAGTCATTTTTAATTTAAAAAAAAAAAACTATATAATTTATCAAATATTAAGTGTTATTTTGTAATTAATACAATGGTGTACTTGGTAACGGTGATTGGTGATTTGATCCATCCAGGCCCTTATCATATTCAAGGTTTATTGAAACCCAAATAATTTTGGCAGTTATATTATTGGAGCCCTAATTTGATTTGATACCTCTTAGTAACTCAAATAAGGCTGATCAATGATTGTTTATTTACATAACTCAAGTAAGGCTGATCAATGATTATTTATTTATATAAAAACTTTAAAAGAGTGGCCAAGTGTCACAGTTTCTTAAATAAACCGATTTGTGTCATCTTAAAGTACCCCAGCTTGCAGCCATGAAGCCTTCTCTTTAGCCTCGAGTTAGCCATTTAAAAACTGACCACATCGTATGCCAAAGTACCTTGGTCATCAAAACTGTACCAGCTGCTATTGCCAGATTAAGCCCAAAACTTTTCCATCAATCGCTAACGATGCAGGCACATGCGACCAAGCCAGCAATTGCTGTTTTTGGTAGGCATTAGTACACAGAAAATATTAAACGATATACATATATAGTTTATTTGTAGTCTTAAAAATAATGGTTTTATAAAAAGACAAGAAAGCAAAGCTAACTTCGGGCGGAGCCGAAGTTGATATACCCTTGCAGCTAAAACCGGATATATATCGCAAACATCGGATATAGTTGGCCGATCCTTATGGGAATATGAATATATAATCCAATTTATTACAATACAAAATCTAAAAAAAGTCTCAAGCTTCTATCTTCAAAAAAAACCAAAGTTGGTATTTCTACCAAAAACCATTTCCGATCGTACAGTTATATGTCAGCTATAAGATATAGTCAACCGATCGTTATGAAATTTGGTAGATCGGATACACTGACCAAAAATAGAATGTGTACCAAGTGCCAGCTTTCTATCATCAAAAACACGAAAGTTGGGTCATTTCCGATCGTTCAGTTATATGGCAGCTATAGGATATATTCGGCCGATCCTTATGAAATTTGGCATGTCGTATTAGGTTGCCAAAAAAAGCTCTCACCTAAAATTTGAACTCTCTAACTTTAAAAACACCAAAGTTATACCATTTCCGATCAATCAGTTATATGGCAGCTATAGGATATAGTCGACCGATCCGGGCCGTTCCGACTTATATACTGCGTGCAAAGGAAAGAAGGATGTGTGCAAAGTTTCAAGACGATAGCTTTAAAACTGAGAGACTAGTTCGCGTAGAAACAGACAGACGGACAGACAGACAGACGGACAGACGGACAGACGGACATGCTCATATCAACTCAGGAGGTGATCCTGATCAAGAATATATATACTTTATAGGGTCGGAGATGTCTCCTTCACTGCGTTGCACACTTTTGACCAAAATTATAATACCCTCTGCAAGGGTATAAAAATATAAAGGGTTCTAAAAAATCGTGTATTATAAAATGATATAGCTTATAATGCTGTGTTATGCCCTATTTTTATTGGCCTTGGATTTATAATTTTTTAGATCTTCCTATTCTTAGAAAGCTTTATTTTAAAATTAATAATCATCTTGATTTAGATTTCAGAGTGTCCAAGATTCCGAGCAATTTCTTTTATTTTTTCCCCTGTGCATTACCAAAAGCCCAATGACAACCCACTTGGTCCCAGTCCGGCTCCATGAGCCACTGCCTCTTTACCACTTTCTCTGCACCTTTCTTTCGAATCAATCTCAACTCGAACGAACCACTTGAGAGCGATGACCAGCCAAAAAAACAGAAAATAATACAAACCCAACGAAAATAATGACCGAGTCAAGATGGGGTCTCTTTAAAAATAGCTCCCCTCCACGGTTGATTCATTTTGGGATTTTGATTACGAGAAGGGTCAGGGGCCAGGAGCAGCATATCTTTTTTATGGCATTAGAACGGCGGCTATTCAAATTACTCGGGAGGGACTTAAAAGCATCGCATTGTACATGCATGTGTGATTTTTTTGTTCTTGCAGCATTTCTTCTCTGATTGTAAGCCGAAGATTTATCGCGTGCTGGCTGCTAGGGAGACTAGAGACGATGGGGGTATAAAAACCTGCTTGTAACGTCATAAAATCGAGATAAATTATTTAATTTTCGATTTCCTAAAACCATTAAGCAAAGGCAGAAGAGTCCGACGCCTAGTCCAAAAGCAAGTTGCCAAGTCATACCAGGAGACACAATCTCGTATAAAAAGTAACCCGTGTTCCTATGTACATATATATGGGATCTTTTTTCTATATATTTAAGAATACATATATGTACATATATAATGATGGCTTGCTGCTGATGCTGCTGAGGCCGATGCTGACCGTTGGCGGTTGGAGGTTGCATCCATGGTAAAAGGCAAAGGATATGGACAGAGCACAGATACATGCATACGCCTACCTGTGCGCAGGTAGCACAACCAGTACAGGTAAGCAACTCTTTGGCTGGGCAAACACTTTGGCAGCCGGAGATACACGGATACAGATACAGATGCGCGTTACTTGTTGCAAACAAACGTTAAGAGAGATGAGGGAAAAACACTAACATGGACTTGCTGGCTCTGCCCTGCCCCCCATGCTGGGCACCAAGCTATATATTCAAGACACATTTAGCAGCGTCATGAAGCCAGGGTCCCGGACCGGACCGGATCGGGATTCGGCTGGAGATTGGTGCTGGGTCTGAAGGTCCAAGATGCAGCATTGGACAGCATCAGGGTTGCAGAGTCTTTTCTTCTACTCGAGGAAGTTTGGAAGATGAATATTCTAATTTATATTATTAGGACGAATTATAGCTAGAAGAAAATAAAACTTAAATAAAAAGCTGTCATTAATGAACGTTATTTTATGCATTTTTAAGTTAAGTTTTTTCAAAAACTAGGAACTACTCTTAACCAACCAATCTTAAAGGCATTAAGATAAAACAACAAATTACAAATATATAACATTACAATCTAAAAAAAACATTTAAATAAAGAAAAATATTTGCCTATAAAATTCTAAGGTAAAATAATTTGTATACATTTTTTAATAATATAATATAATTTATATATTTTATTTATAAATCACTGGCAATAAATTCACCTGTGCACCCATCCCTGGACCAATTGCAGCTGCCTGTAAGCCGAAACGAGTGACTTGGCACTTGGCCCTTTGCCTCGGCCGGCATCCTTAGACCCTTCCCTTGAAATGTTACTCATTTTGGTTATTTTTTCATTTCTTGCAGACTCACACACACGCATACCTGCACACCCACAGATGCAACATCATTTCCAGAGTTGGGCCCACTCTTTCTTTTCTCCTTTATTTTTTTATTCAGTTTTTTTTTTTTTTTTTGATTTTTTGAAACGACAAACCGGCCGGTATTATTTTTAGAATTTTTCAGTCAAACTTGTTACCAAGCTGGGGCGAAACTGGCTTTGAGGCAGCAGCAATGAAAAAAATGAGAAAAAAAACGGCAAGGCAGCGACAGCAGCCAGCAAAAATGCAATGATCTTGTTCTCATTCCACTTCTTTTGTCTCCCCTCGTATAACCAAAAAGATACAACTTTGTCTTTGCCCCTCGCAACTGCCAGAACTCCACTCCCTCTACCGATCCCCTTTGCCAAGTGGGTAAGGTATCTGTATCCGTGTATCTGTGACTTGGCATTGTTACTGTTCTCTCTGACTTTTTAATGCCCGAAAACCCGAAATGTTGCTCGAAAATTGTATCGATCTTGGCCATTTGCCGGTCGGCGGCGGAGGTTCGGGTTCCAGTCAGCCCCGTCAGCCAGTTAGCCCGACAGCTAGCCACCTTTTGTGTTCTGTTTTTGGCCCGTACGCTTTGCTCGGCTCTTCATCTTCCTCTTCCACACGCAGCATCATCCATGATCATTATAGCACCGATCCGATCCGATCCGATGCCGAACAGGGGGGTACAGTTTCGCTCCGAACTGAAAAGTTATCATTTTGATTCTCTCAGGCAATGGCTGGTTTGGTGGGTTACTCCATCCGTCGCCTCCACCGACACCGTCGCCTTTTGCCATCGCTTTCTGTCGCTTTCTTTGGGGACTCTGATTCGGACTCGAATTTGGACTCTCGACATTTACTTAATTTATTTTTATTTTCATTTCATTAATTTGAGTTTTGTTTTTAATTGAACATCGTTCTCCTCCTTACCTCGTTCTCATTCGCCCCCAAAATCAGATTATTGACTTTTTGGCTTCCACCGCTTTTCTGTCATATCGCTGTGTTGGAGATTATTCAAATTGGTTATAGACAGAGGTCTTTGTTTAGGCCCAAACATGTTTGGTTTAATGAGTTTTATTAGTTCTGGCTCCAGCTCAATAGAGCTGAATCCAATCGGGTCTGTAGATAGGAGGGGGTAAGTAGACCCACCCCGGCATGAGGCCCCAACTGGTTTCCATTGAATATGTATGCTTATTAACCATTCGAAGAGCTTGGACAATGGCCAAAAAGCCGGGTCTTTGCATTGTTAAATGATCTGGAAACCGATAGAAAACAAAGTGAATGGATTCTATGCTGTGGAGCTGGTTTAAGCTTTTGAGGAACTAAACATCAAAATGATGTATAAATTCAATATTATTTATGT